TTTGATTGCTTTGTTTCAAAGAGGATATTGTTGTAAAAGTCAGGAGGGGCATGAAAATGACTGCAAATTTAGAAAGGTTTTTTGGATGGATGGAATAAAAAGATAAAGCCTGCTCTGATTACAGGATCAGTAAGAAGTTGCATACATGCAGAGATATAGCCTACATACTACCAAAAAATACAAGAAKCAGAGAATGAAAAGACAACTAAATATCTAATTGATTTCTAGCCGTACTTATCTGTTTATTTGGCAGCTCAAGCCTCCTTGGTTTTGTTTTATTTAAAGCATGAAGGGCATTTGATGGGAGGAAGGAAATGTAAAAGCATCTCTGTGCACGAGATCTTGCAAAATGATGAAGCCTCAAACTAAAACAAGGCAATCACTAAGCAGAGTTAGGAGGAATATTTACCAACAGTGTAAGACCTACAGCAAAACAGCATGTAGCTATTTTGGGCATCAGTTGGAAGCTCCAAGTGTTGATTCAACAGGCAGCCCTAGAAGAACCACTGCGTGGACTTGAAATTACAGTTCTGTTTGAGGTTACTCTGCTCTTCCCAGCTCTTGGCAATTTGGAGAAAGAAACAYTTTTTTTTTTCTTTTCCTAAGTTCTAGCTTCTCCGAGTCTTTACAAAATTACTCTTCTCTTTTCCTTTTTTTATTCTTTTATTTTTATTTATTTATTTTTGTAGGAGTCCTTTCTAGTAAGAGTTCAAGTCCAGCATTTCCATGCAGCAGGTAGACGCTGATAGGAATTGGGTTGGTTTTGGTGCYGCCCATCAGAAACCCATGAAGGAGCAAGGGCACTGGAAGGTTTGGTTGCCTGTGCTGTGTTTGCACACAGGGAAGGCAGGAGAAGAGCTCTCAGTCCCCTTCCCAAGGGGCTCTTTTTGCAAACAGAAGACTTGGAAAGGAGGTTGGCAAGATTTAAAGTGACTAAACAATTCACAGCCTAGGCTTCCTCCTAAATAGATTTAGGCTCCTTAGCATTTTTTTTTTTTTAATCGTATATGTTATCATTAAATGACTGATTAAAGTAAACTTGAATTCAATGAAAAGTAGCAGCGAACAGGTAGTTTTTGTTAAACGCTGACATGTATTTATGTTGGTTAATCAAGGCTTACTTTCTAAATTGTGCTTCATAATAATCCAGGATTTAAACAAAGAATTTTAATAATGCATAGACATAACAACTGTGCCAAGGGAGAGACTTGGCAGTTTTACAGAGGAGAAATAAATGCATTTTCTCGTTGCCTACTTAGAATTCATTCCTGTTTTCAGGAACTAGTTGTGATAGAAAACTGGAGATTTTGATTAAATTTTGGGTTTTATTGAATCGCCCAGTTCATGATACTACATGAAAAACTGAGCTGTAAATATGAGAGATATAGGGGGAAAACAAACAAACAAAACCAGCCTATTAAAAAAAGAGGAGAGAGAGAGAGAGAGAGAGAGAGAGACTTACTATTGCAGCATGAGAGACTGATGTAATGTGAGGAAGAATACTTGTGTCAACCTGGAAATTAAATTATTTCTCAATGGGAATTTACCTAATCCCATTGCTGGCACGCTGTTCACAGTTGCACACCAGGAGTTGCACTAGAATATGCCTCCCCTGCCACCCTTCACAGCAGTCCCAAGGCACAGGATGGTTTTAAAGGATAAATCAAACCAGAGTGGCAGAGATAGTACACAGATTATCATTTAAATAACAAAACTGGTACTTGGATTTTTAAGACCGGGAGTTGATTTCCAGGGGCTTATAAATTGCCCCCAATAATCTGAAGGATAACGAGACTTTTGAAGCTCAGTATCTTAGAATATATTCCTTTGTTCAGCTCTTCACATCTGGCATTTTACATGTTCATGATACCTATGTCTAAATGTGGAATTTCCTACACCCTTCAAAATACTTCTGTTTTGACTGCAATTGTTTATAAAATCAGGATTTATGTGCCTTTGCAAAGTGKTTTTTTTTAAAGTGGCATTTATGAAGTTCTGTTGATGTAGAATTGATGAAGAAAAATGAGAATGATCGAAGAGACTTGGGAACACATGGTGAGATTTTTTTTATTTTWTTWTTTTTTTTTTTTTTGAGAAATGAATAGGAGAAATTCCAATGAGATGAGATCAATTTCCTTGATCCTCTCATCAGACAGAGACTGATTTGAACTTGGGATTTTGACCCTTCTTTCGGCAGGGAGTAGTTCGTGGCTTATTTGTGCTGATCGCTAGCGTATTGATTTGTGAAGTCATTAAGAGTGTGTGGATGCTAAAGGAACGCCACGTTATGGGAAGCAGATTGAAGTTGCCACTGAAGCAAAAAGCATAGTGTGGTGGCTGGCACAAATTCTTCTCTTTTTGACTCAGTGTGTCTAATGATTGATGGTTGACATCTTCTTTCACACTTAATAAAAAGTTTGGTGGAAGATGGTATTAAAAACTAAGAGGTTTGCAGTCCTTTGTAGGAACTTTTGGAGCCCATTGAGGAATCAGCACCATTTGTTTGCAGGAGTAGACTCCAGTCCTGTCCYACCCAAGTTATTTTCTTGGATACTAGTTTGTGCATGACTTTGGATAACCTTCGATCATGGCTCCTGGTGCCTCCCTTCCTTCCCAGGGAAGCAGAGCGTGTGCTGGACATCCCGGAGCTTGAAGGTGTCGTGGCTCCTACTGCTGCAGGTTGACGGGTTGCACCTTCCCAGCCCGAGCGGGCCAGTCACCCTGTTTTATTTCTGAAGCCTCCSTGTGTCCTTATCTGGTGATAGTGATGTATGTGAATAATCTTTGGATTCATATTGGTCAGAAGGTTTGAGGAAAAAAAAAACGGTGTGTGCTTTAGTAATAAATGAGATTGATGCACGGAATTACAAGCACATCTCCCATGTGATTCTCCCAAACTCCRCTACCCTTCTTGTGCCATTGGCAGTGCTGGAAGAATTCTGAAGAACACACTTCATTTTTTTCCTTCTTTCTTGCTTTAGTGTATCTTTAAAGATTTTTAAGCTTCTTTCTTGTGAAAAATCATTCCTATGCAGAGGCAAAAAGGTTATTTTCATAATCAGGAGGTCCAGAAACTTGTTTAAGGAGGGAGGGGAAAAAAAAAAGTTGCATAAACCTAAGCAGCCGAGATTTCACACTGGGAATACMTGCCCCGACCCCAGTAGAAGCTCTCAGCTGCGAGCAGCTATAAACAACCCATCTGGGGCCTACGCTGCTTTTCCTCCTGTGCTCCTCTTTTTGCCTCTGCAGTTCAACAGGATTTAGACCGTTTATTTCTCTCCCAAATCAATCTGTCACAGATTTAAAAAAAAAAAAAAAGATGGGGAGAGAGAAGAGCTTGTTAGGAAAGGAGTCTTTGGAAATTGCATAACCCAGCGCCAGGCACGCACCGCCCACCGTCTTCCTGCAAATTGCCGGCAAAAGGGATGTCACACTGGGGTGTCAGGTGGGGGAATGGAGCAACTGAGGCGCAGACACGTTTCCCTGTGTTTCCCCCTTCCCATAACCCCAGAGACAGGGGGCAGCTGGAAATAAAACCAACTCAAGGCCATGCAGTTGTAGGCGCRGACTGGCGTCTGCCGGTGGCTTAACTTAGTTATAAGGTGAAGGGTGGCTCAAGGAAACCAAGTTATCAGTGAATCTTTGCTTGCACTTTGGTTTTGGACCTCTTGGGTTAAAGACATTGGGTGATTCCAGTAGGGGTGTCCACTAGTGTCCAGATGATTCCAGGACATTGGGCGTTTGGGGGAGCAGCCCAAAGGACATCCCAGGGCTTGGGTTTAGGCCAGGCAGGATTTGGCCATGGATCTCAGCAAGGTTGGCCCCGTTTTCCAGCATCTCCATCCCTGTTACTTSACTGTGCTGCTCTTGTCCAGGAAAAATAATCAAGGCTAAATGGGGGTGAGCTTGTACTGATAGCAAAGAGGAGGCTTTTCTTTAAGCCTCCTCTTAACAGTACAGAGTGATGTTTGAACTGTGTTTTTTTGAAGGGAAAACAATGTTATTTTAAGATGTGAAGAATTGCTATCTAATTTTTTTTCTCCTTTGCTTTTTTTTTTTTTTTTTTTTAGTGGTCATGCATGCCAGTTTTCTAGACACTTGACCTACTATTAAGGAAATCCAATCTGAGTTTAAGTTCTTAGTAAACTAATGACTGAAAAATAGGTTTCTTGCCTATTTAAATGGCTTGGCTGGCTAAGCCTCTATCCTTTTTATTTCAGGAGTATTTATTAATGAAATCTGTGCCCACTTGCCTCTCAAGGAGTGGTTTCTACCGGAGTCTCTCAAAGTCATTTGGACTTTTCCATGTAGCCCTTTGAAATATTGATTGAATATTGAAATACTGATTTGAAATATTGATTAAACGTGYTCGCTGGGATTTGCTGGGGCCTGATTTGCATGTCCGGGCGGCCCTTCCGTGTCCATGCCCGCTGCAGGCTGCCCTTGTTAGTGCTGCCGGGGGGGAGACCTGGGGGTCCTGGCAAAGGGAAGCGCAAGGAGTTAAAGCCGGAGCGCTGACCTCATCCCTATTCATGTCCCACCGGATCGGATCRCTGGCTGCTCCAGAGGGATCATGTAAGGGAGCTCCTCGCTGCTGCCCGTTCCYGGGGCGCAATTCGCCTCTGGTCCTTATAGTGCTCCCAGATGAACCAGCATCTCGGGAGGGGTCTGCAGAGCCCTCATACCGACCCCCACGGCAGCGCGTAGCCTCGCTGCGCCTCTCCTCGGAGCGGCTTGGCCGAGCTCCCTGCGCTCGGGGGACCTCGGGGCGCCGCGGCGGCCGCTTTAACGCGGGGGCCGAGCGCGTTCCCAAAGGTGTCACCGTGCGGCGGCTCCAATCGCTGCCGGTGGCTGCAGCCATTGGCTCCGCTCCGCTTCGCTCTGCTCCGCTCGCTGCCTCCGCCGTGCGCCGCTCGCTCGCTCGTCCCCGCACAACTGGAGCGCCGCTCGCCCTCGCTGGCCCGCGCGCCTGCCCCTCCATCCCCGCCACGACCCCACAGGAGGAATAGGCCTGCCCGGAATGATGGGGGGGAATTTAACAATTCAAGTACTGGATCAAACTTAGAGCCRGGCTCTTCCGCGGTACCTGGGGAAGGTCACCTTGCCTTGCCGGAGAAGACGCAAACTCTTGGCTCCGCTGCCCGAGCTTCAGCGGCTCCTCCTCGCCTTYCTGGATGCTCGGAGCAAGTTAGGCTGTCTAGCTGTCCAGACAAGTATCCTCATGGTAGATGAGAAGGGAAAGAACATGAAATGTCTCACCTTCTTCTTGATGCTTCCAGAGACGGTCAAGAACAGGTCCAAGAAGAGCTCTAAGAAGGGGAACAGCAGCAGCAGCAGCAGCAGCAGCAAATTGCCTCCGGTTTGCTATGAGATCATTACCTTGAAGACCAAAAAGAAGAAGAAGATGGCTGCTGATATTTTTCCCCGAAAGAAGCCGGCCAACACGAATACAACTGCTGTTCAGCAGTACCACCAGCAAAACCTCAATAACAACAACACGATCCCAGCACCTAACTGGCAAGGACTTTACCCCACCATCAGGGAGAGGTAAGTTCAGGACAGTTTATTTTTGCTGTTTAGATTGAGGGGTGAACAGTGTCAAAATGTTTGTCGTGCTTACATTAGTTTTTAATTTATGTCCTGAATAAAGCACAGTTCTTTTATTTTGCATTAAGCAAATGTTGCAGTAGTGGAAAACATTTAGGGTCTGTTTTTCAGACAGTGCAGCTGTTTGTCTTGAGTAAATAAAAATTGCAAGTTGCAACATAGCAGTAGAGATTTGCTCTTAGGTGTCAGTGTAGGTTTGTGGCGATACATGCTGTTTGTGATTTTCACTTTCAGAAAAGTTTTAATAAGTTATTATTATTGATATTATTATTATTATTATTATTATTCCCTCAACCTTGCTCCCCCCCCTCCCCCTGTATATGTGTCTGGTGATGTGTAAAATAGTTCAAAGCAACGTGTGAGCTGCCTTCCTTTCCCCAACTTCATGGCATTTAGGGCTTCAGTCCCTGGGATTGGGAGCAAGCGTGGGATCACTGGGCTCCCGGAGCTAACTCCTTGCCTCTGCTTGTAGAAATGCCGTGATGTTCAACAACGATTTGATGGCCGATGTTCACTTCGTGGTGGGGCCACCAGGTGCGACGCAGCGGCTGCCGGGACACAAAGTAAGGAGGAGCTGCCCTGGTAGGGAGGGTGGCCGGGGGCTCCCRCGGCGGCGCCTCCCGGGACAGACCCACACTCTGTTTTAAACAGCTGCATTCACTGAAACCCTGCCCTTTACCCTTCTGTGTGTGTCCAGTTAAATATTATATTTGTCACGATAAGACCCTCGCTGTAAAGCTAAGAATACCGCTTGCCCGGTTGGTTAATATTACTCCTGAAGTTCCACTCGAAATAAGGAACTTCTGTAAAAGATGCCAGCTTTTCCCAGTAGCTAGTGCATGTGTGCCCAGGAGAGGTAAATGCAAAGAAAATATATGCTGTTTTGTTCCTAAGTTTGACTTTCTCATGCAAGCGTGTCAGTCGGTGRAGCCCGCACATTCAGAGTGGCTCTCCCACGTTGTTTTTATTGGCAGTGCTTTCAGTTTAGAGCATGAAATAAGATTTCCCCTCTCTCGACAGTATGTCCTTGCTGTTGGGAGCTCTGTATTCCATGCAATGTTTTACGGAGAGCTCGCTGAGGACAAAGATGAGATCCGTATACCAGATGTTGAGCCTGCTGCTTTTCTCGCTATGCTGAAGTAAGCATCATTCATCTGCTAGATATGTGTTTTCTTTATGATGTGTACACTGATATTCACACTGATAATGTCACGGTTAAAGTATTAGATGAATATATGACAGGAAGGAGCTGTTTAAAAATGTTTTTTCCTTTTGTGTTTCAAGTATTTCAGACTTTCATTTTTGCCTCTTTTTGGGTTCCCCTTCTAACTCTGAGGCACACACATATTAGCTAATGTAGGCTGTTATAAATAATGACTTTGACAGGGGATCTTTGGGCACATTGTATACTGTAATGCCTATTGATTTGATTTGTCACTACACATGTTACACAAAGGAATGGAGGTACTAAAAAGAATTGTCAGCTGTAACAAAAAAGCCTGCTGTACTTTGCAAGCATAGTGAAAAGTTAAAAAAAAAAAAAAAAAATTAGAATGGCTGAATTTATGTTTTGACATAGTGCTAGCTCTTTCGTAAGCTTGCTGTATGTAGAACTTAGAAAAATGATCCTAAATTATCGAATACAGACTCTGAAGGTTAAATTTCTGCTCACGTATCATATTGACGTGTTTGGGAAGTGATAAAGAGACTATTTAAATGATTGGGGTTTTATTTTACTAATGGAAGACAGACAGTTTACATAATCATTATTTTTCTGTGTATTTTATTTCTTCCCACAGGCTGAATAAGAACAGCTCTCTTTTTTTTTTTTTTTTTTTTTTTTTCCTAAGCAAACTCAGTGAAACTCAGTTTCCCTGCTGAATTACCCTTGAATGTATCTAGAAACTCCAATTTTTAAAGTGACATTCTCTGTCACAGGAATACTGTGGCTTTGGAGATTTTCTCTCTCCAGCTTTAGCAACCATCATTGCATTCAACGTATACATCAGAAGTGATAGAAACCTTCTAATATACTGCTTATTTTGTTCCATGTGCTGCTGCAATCCCTAGCTAAGAACTTAATGCACTTCATAGGCTGTTTTGCCTCGCTCACGGCTGGAATACCTTTTTTTCTTGTGTGTTGCAGGGCATCTGTGGATGAATGTCCACAGCTGCACATGGAGTTTGTAGCACAGTGTTTTTAGGGGYTAGCGTGGCCATCAGAAATGCTTTGGGCAGCGGCTACCAGGGAAACTAAACTCGCCCTGCTGTTGTATAGGTCTGGATTTTAAAGTTAAGATACAGTATTGGGTACATAGGTGCAGTACAGATCCCCACTTGGGGCCTTTCTGCTTTTGCAGGTGCTTTTTGCGCTGCTTTTTGCAGTGCTCTTTTTCCAGAACCACCGAGTTCCTTATCCTTAGAGCTTTTATTTGRAACAAGCCGCCAACTTTGTGTCTTTGTGGCTGCTGGGACAACCTTGGCGGTGCTGCAGAGCGCGCGGGGGCCTGCGGATGGCAGAGCTGCCCGCAGCCGYGGGGAGGGATGCAGTGCAGCATTCCCTGCATCCCGGTGCATGCGCTGCRCTGGGTGGAGCTTGGCGGGGAGCTCCCGCCCCATCCCTGCTCCCATTCCCGCGGCAAATCCTCCCCTCTGCTCCTTGCAGGGGCTGCAGCCGCTGGAAAGCGGAAGGCTGGGAACACAGAGGCTGGAAAGGAAAAAGCTTTGACCTATCCCTAAGTAGCCCTCCTCTTTGGGGAGACTCCTGCATAGTCAGGAGAGGTGCAGCATAATCTTTGTGAGCAAATACATTCAATTATTGTTATTCGTTGTTGATGGACCATGAATTCTCTTGCCTTAAATGTTATTTGTCTTCAGCTGTGTGGTGGGCACACTGATGACAAATATGAGTCTCAAAGTATTGCTCCATATAACATATTTAATATAGTCCCTACTGATAGATACTAATTCTTCCTCCTGTAAAACTGATTTGGCTGTTTCCTACAGTTTTAAAAACAGGGTTAAGGGGTTGTTAAATTCATGCTCTCATGCATTGAATTCTTGTATTTGAAGTATTGTATCCTGTCTTACTTATGACTGTTAACATGAGAACCATGATTCCATTTTATCCCAGGATGGAGTGTATCATCAAATCCTGTGTTTTGAGAACTAAAAAGGTTGAAACTGGAATATCAGCAGTTGTAGTCCAGGATCAAGGTGCATGGGCAGAATGAGAAGTGAGGAATATTGCAGACAGCTGATCCGTGCTGTCCATGTCTGTTGTAATTCGGTGATGTTAGTTCTTCACTTTCACAAACATTAACAACTATTATACTATTTAAATTTAAAACAGGCRTCCTCAGTTTCTGCTTTATTAACAGGCAAAGAGAAGTAATGAAAGGGAGAAGAGAGTTGGAGTCATGAAAAGGAATTAATTAAAATATGGAACACTTTTGGGGCTGTAAAGGAGCTAAGCCTGTAACCTGTGATCTATACGTGTCATCTTTGTTGGTACAAATAGCCCAGCTGAAACCAAGGAAGGCAGGCAAGAAGAGCTGGGCCTGTGTCAGCCTTCTTCCTCTCGGTAACCACTTACATTTCAATGTACTGCTTGGGCAGGATCTGCTCTAAGCCTRTTTTCAAAATACGACTTGGGGAAGAGCATTCTTGCAAGTTTATTTTAACCATAGATCCAATTTTACCAGAATTTATTCTACCTTAGAAATTATAACTGCTCTTAGTAATTTACTCATTGCTGTCATTTTCATCACTAACTAGAAATCAGGTTACAGGTCAGAATATCAGTGAATCACACTCTGCAAAAATATAAATGAAGATATTTAAAAATATAGTAAGATCAGTGTAAGTGCTAATTCCCTTTTATAGTGTTTATTCAGCTCTCTGAAAATGTCTTGTGTTGACAAACGTGCTAACTGGAACATTTTAATTAGTACTGGGTTTCATTTAACTTCAGTTTTACTGGAGAAAGTCGCAGTGATCAGCCATAACCATCAAGACTTCTTTATTCATATGAAGAGTAAAATTGTGTCTAATGTGGTTTTACCACACTGCATTTACCAGCTGCAAATGGGGCCCCGAAGCATGAGTTATTAAAAAAACAAACTCTGTTTCTTCATTCCCCTGTGAGCAATGAATCTCGGCAGTTTAGTCACATAAATAGCATTTAACTTTCATCTCTTCCACCATACTAGCCTAGCAGTAAAGCCTTTTTTCCCCCTTATGCACTGAGACTGTGAATAAAAGCTCTGTTATCAGAGCTGCGATGTTGTAAGCGTTAATAGAGACACAGAATTCTTATTTTCAGGTTTGCTTTTCCTGTGGGTTTCACCATCCTGTGACAAAACTGTGTAGTCATCAAATATGAAGGTGGGCAGCAGCTGATGTGCTCGGATAGTGTTTCCCTTGTGAGAGGCTGCTTGGCTGTCTCAGTGAACCCTCACAGGTTGGCACCACGGGACGGGCAGAGCTCGTCCCCGCGCACCAGGCTGGTCGTGTGGCCGTGTGAGCTGCTCTGGGCAGGGTGTCCTGCCTTAGGCACGGCAGGTGCCAAAGGAAGGCAGAGCTGGAGGGGGCTCCAGGTTGGGAATGGAACCAGCATCTGTGCGRCAGGAGCCTGAAATGTAAAATCTTGCTTGTTGTAACCTGTTGGCTTCCATTGGCTTATGTCAATGGTGAATTTGGCCTGTACCTTCCTTATGAATTCAATGGATATTCTCCAAGGGCATTGCTTAGTTCTGGTGTGGAGTCATTTAAGAATTCCTTGTTTCCCGTTTTCAGATGTTGTTGACAAATGGTGCTCTTGGCATTCAGCAGCGCTGCTACCCACGTGTGTTGTGTTTCAGGTACATTTACTGTGATGAAATCGACCTGGCTGCGGACACAGTGCTGGCCACGCTCTACGCTGCCAAGAAGTACATCGTCCCTCACCTCGCCCGCGCCTGCGTCACCTTCCTGGAGACCAGCCTGAGCGCCAAGAATGCCTGCGTGCTGCTCTCCCAGAGCTGCCTCTTYGAGGAGCCCGACCTGACCCAGCGCTGCTGGGAGGTCATCGATGCCCAGGCCGAGCTGGCTTTGAAATCCGAGGGCTTCTGCGACATCGACTTCCAGACGCTCGAAAGCATCCTCCGAAGGGAGACTCTGAATGCCAAAGAACTCGTCGTTTTCGAGGCGGCTCTGAGCTGGGCCGAGGTCGAGTGCCAGCGGCAGGAGCTGACGGCCACCATCGAGAACAAGCGCAAGGTGCTGGGCAAGGCCCTCTACCTGATCCGCATCCCCACCATGGCGCTCGACGACTTCGCCAACGGCGCCGCGCAGTCGGGCATCCTGACCCTCAACGAGACCAACGACATCTTCCTCTGGTACACGGCGGCCAAAAAGCCGGAGCTGCAGTTCGTGAGCAAGCCCCGCAAGGGCCTCGTGCCGCAGCGGTGCCACCGCTTCCAGTCCTGCGCCTACCGCAGCAACCAGTGGCGCTACCGGGGCCGCTGCGACAGCATCCAGTTTGCTGTGGACAAGAGGGTGTTCATCGCCGGCTTCGGCCTCTACGGCTCCAGCTGCGGCTCGGCCGAGTACAGCGCCAAGATCGAACTCAAGCGGCAAGGAGTCATCCTGGGCCAGAACCTGAGCAAATATTTCTCGGACGGTTCTAGTAACACTTTCCCCGTGTGGTTCGAATACCCGGTGCAGATCGAGCCTGACACCTTTTACACGGCGAGCGTGATTCTGGACGGTAACGAGCTGAGTTATTTCGGGCAAGAAGGGATGACAGAAGTGCAGTGTGGCAAAGTGACGGTTCAGTTCCAGTGCTCCTCRGACAGTACCAATGGCACTGGCGTGCAGGGCGGGCAGATTCCCGAGCTCATATTTTATGCTTGAGCAAAACTGTGCAGAGAAGCAGCTTTTTTGCGACGAGGAACTTCTCTGGTTCAGACTTCCCAATGCTTAGCTCTTTACCTGCAGATACGTGAGCAGTACAGGTAGTATGCAACTAAACGCTGTGGACAAGCTCCTGGCTTGCTGTACTTGTAGCGGTGTTGGTGATAAAATTTACATGTAATATTTAACTCTAAACTGGAACTCCTTGGAACAAGCAGGTTCTCAAGCTTTGTGAGAAGCGTGTTCCTGTCTGGCGGTGATGCCGACGCTCCTTTGCTGATGCAATGGTCAGATGATGCCGTGGGTTCTAGGGCTCCTTACACTAAACATTGTCTTCAGTGATCAGTTTTTCTTCGTCCCTGACTGCCTGTTTGTCAGTATTTTAGTGAGAGAGAGGAAGAATGTGGAGAGCCTTGTTTTACGGCTCTCTTCTGTCTGCTCTTCAGACTTAAGAGACCCTAACAAGCTTGATCACTTGTTATCCTGGCAGCTGAAAGAAGCACCTCAGCAGTAAGTAGATGGAAATGCAGCTCATGCCTTCCCCCAGCGAGATTCTCCCCTGGCCGGCTGCTCGGGAGAGCTGCAGGAGGAGAGGGAGAGAAGCAGGCGGCTCCGGGAGCTGCACAGCTCGCTGTGGAGGAGCTGCGCCCGGCTGCTTCCCCCACATTCACATTCTAGGAATTCCACTTGGGAGGCAGGGATGTCCGTGCATGTGCACAAATTGTGTAAGAAGCTTTTAGCTTTTACACTTTTGCTCCCATGACCTAATTTTGCTGTATTTAGTTTGAGTAACTATTTAAATCCAAGACAGGATAGCTTTTTTTTTYCTTTCTTCTGAGTCTTTTTTTCTTCCTCCAAAACATTTTAGATGCAGATTGTAGAGGAGTGAAAGAATGTACTGACTTGGGCGTTTTTTTTCCATAAAATGAAATGTCTTCCTTTTATAACTATACGTAATCAATGGGAAGGTAGACAAAGGTGAGAAAATCCCCATATAGGGTCACATCTGATGACATGCACTAAATGCAGTAACAATGAGGAGCAGAGAGTCTTCTCCAATATATTGCTGTTGAATCTCTTTCCTGTGGTTAAACATCAGTCGGAGGATTGTGTCACAAAACCTGTACCTGAACTCTTATCCAAGCTTCATGTCATTTGTCTCTATCATTTATGGAAATGTATTATGGGATCATGGCTTTCTATCAGGGAAGGAATCAGTATAAATAGGAGATACAGGTACTATTGAAACATGAGGAAATTCTCCACCTTTGCATTGAGAGAGTTGCCCCAAAAAGGGACACGAGCTCTTGCAGTGCATCGCGTTCCTGTCGTCTCCAAAATGGGTTCTGTTTGTGTGTGTGTGTGTGTGTGTGTGTTAAAGAAATGGGAGGACCAAATGAATCTTTAGATGCATCGAAGACTAACGTTATATCAGCACATTAATGTAGCATAACCCTCAATTCACTTGTCAGTTTTTGGTATATATTTTATTTTCCTCGTATGATTTCTTACCAGCTTAATACTGTTACTCTAAGTGTTTCTTGGCTGTATGGCCTTTGGCCATCTTCAAATGTCAATAYATCTTTGCAGCGCCCAAAGTACAGTCTGAAGCAAGGAAAACTGGAGTGTAGACATCAAATATTTTAGGGCAAAAGCCCAGRTCTTCTCTCTAGGTAATGACAGGAGAGCCAAGTGAAAAACTGCGCTGCAGGATTCGTGCTCTTCACCCATCTTCATGTTAATTTTTTAATAAAWATATRTGTGTGTGTRYRCRCACAYRTGTGTRTRTRTRTRTGTRTATATATATATAAGATATATATAAAGCAAATTAACATTCTTTCTGAAAACACTCTTAAAATATATAGTTTTTTTTATATAGAACAGATGTACATAAAGCAGGCTGCTAGTGAAATCTAAACAGAATGCTGCATGGAAAACTCCCGGAGAGAGACTTAAAAAAAAAAAAAAAAAAAAAAAAAAAAAAGCCCTCCAGTTAATTATATTTAGATCTGCAGCCAAAAATAACCAGGCTATAATTGTATGGACTGGAGAAAGAGCTGCTGAAGAGACTGCAACAGGAACTGCAGGACTGTTGTGGGAAAATGGTCGTCTGCTTGTAGGCACTGTCTGAGAAGCAGTTCTGCTTAGGTGAAATACGTTTGAAAGCCAAGTGAGACACTAATCAATGGGTTAAGTTCCCTTTAGCAGTTGGCAGGAGTCAATCTGATTGCTGCTTGGAGTGGTTGCAGGTYGCTCGCAGTCGCAGGCTGCTTTCTGAGTCCCTTTGGAACAAACGAGGTGCCTCAGCTGGTGGGACAGATCGGAGTGCTGTGCTGGGATAAATAAGCTCGGATTCTCGCTTTTATTTATTTGTTGGGTTTTACTTATCTGCAAATAAAGGTGAGCGCTCTCCCGCATTAAGGGCTGGAGCAGATAGATCAGAATTCTGTATAGCTGTAATAATGTAGACAATTAGCTGTTAGTTATGATTTTTGTTTGCTACCTTTGTTACGTTTTTCCAACAAAGTAGGGTGAGAGCTACCTCTGGCTTAATTCCCCCGAGCCCATTCCAGGCTCTGAGAGCTGCTGCCTGCGTTTCGAGCTTTTGGGCTGGATTCATGGACCCGGGCGCTCTCTGCCGCGCGCCGATCCCGACAGAGCAGCTCGGGGCTGCGGACAGGCGCCCCTGAAGCAGCCGGGGCTGCCGCCAGGCCCCTTAGGACGTCTTGCCCCTGAAACGGGTATCTCAGCGTGCAGCGTTCGCTTTTGCTAAGCGTTCGCTTTTGCTAAGCGTTTGCTTTGTGGTCGTGTCCAACTTTGAGCACGGTGAGCGGTGTCTGTGAGCACTGGCCTTACGAGTGCAATGGAGTGGAGCAAAGTGTTGGACATGCCCCTGTAGATGCTCTTTCAACTGCACCTGGRCCATCTTTGCTACTCCTGTGCTGGGTTTTGCTGATGAGGGGGTCTCTGTTAGAGAGAATAATGTAATATACTTTCTGCATATCGAAACCAGTATTTAAGTCAACATTCTCATTTCTACATACTTATTGCACTGATTTGTTTTTTATTTTTTATTTTTTTTTTGTGGTAAACTCTGGTAACTTCAGGTCACAGCACCCATTTGTGCTGGAGCAGTGTTCGACCTTAGCAGACTGACGGCGTTCTTTATAAAGGACAGATGTATAAATAAGAAGTACCTCATGTTGAATGTTATTGTACTGTACCTTTAATGTCACAGTGCAGATCTTGTTGGACTCATGAATGTGTATAACCACATTAAACATGCAAATAAAACTGTTTCTTAAATGGTGGTTTCCTGTAGTATCTTTGAAGCTTGAGTTGTGAAAGCCTTTATTTAGCTCCCTCTTTTCCCTTGCTGTATGCTGATATGTTGAGCTTATGTATTCGGACATCTCTGGATCCCCAGAGAAGTGAAAGTCTAAGGGAGAAACAAGGAAGAACAATGAAAATGTTAGTCAGTTACACTGCAAGGAGGTTGATGATTAAGCCAACAAGCTGGAGTGAATGAATCATTTACGTGCTTCATTAAAGACCTTGTCTATAGCATTAGTATTTYTAGGTGTGGGCAGATGAAAGGGGGAGGGTCTCGTGTTTACCCTGGCACCAGACAACTGGCATGGGAAGGACCACGGTTTCCAGTCTTTGAAGTGTCAGAAGAAAGAAGGGCTGGTGCCAAAGGCTGTTCTGTGCTGAAAAGTTAATTATGGAATATTAATCAAAATTCTGACTATCAACAATTTCTCTTCTRGGAGGTTTAAGTGTTCCTGTTAAATACTAACGCTGTCTTGAAACCAAAGCCTACTTTAAGTTGTCTATCTCCAGCACGTTCTGGGTTTTCCTGGCCAATGCTAYAAAATGTTGGAGCTACCTCCTGGCTTGGATTGAGAGGAGTCCTCCAGCCCACCAGTGCTGCACAAACTCCACAATTATTTTCTCACCAAGGCTTTCCTATAAAGCGAAGCCCTGACCCAGCTGAAATCGGTAAGACTTGTCCTATTAATTTCATTAAACCTGAGGTTTTCCTTTGCAGCATTTTTGTGATTGTTCCCTGAAAACACAGAATGGGCACGCGCACACATACACACACACACACACAAAAAAAAGTTATTTATGACATTACACAGTAATGTGACTATCTAAAGTAMAAGTAGAAACCTTTCTAGTAAATCTTAACCAAAATTCTTGCTCACTGGGAGATTTTTTATCTGTCTCTAAGGCTTTTCTAGTTTCAAATACTAATAAGAAATATTTTATCCTCAGCCATAAATCTCAAGGCAGAACAATAAATCTGTATGAGCTTTTATGTAGATTTTTACACCCTGTGTTTTGGAATTCACAGCACACAGGACACGTGCTACAGATAAAGTATTTTTCAAATTAGAAGGTGCGTGTAAATCGCAGATGGTCTATTCTGAACAAAGGCGAAATAAAACGAGCTATTTTGCTTGAAGCCACTGTTACTTTGAAAGAGCTTCCTGAAGTTTGCTGCACTTGGGTAGCATCAGAAACATGGTTGTATTAAGCCTTTAATTGCAGCATATTAAAATTAACTTTCCGGTTGCTTTCTATGAACAGCAGTACCGTAGCTGGCCTTTGGGAGACCTCCGTCTTGGCCCGGCGAGGTCTGAACAGATCCTGGCAAATGCCGTTTCCTGGATGCCATTGGAAAGCTCTGTCCTCATGGGAAGTGCTGCTCGGGGATCATCAGCGTTTGAAGAACAACTGCAGCAGCTTCCTGTGCTAGCAGCAAGCCGGGACTCGCACGAGGAGGTTTCCTCCCTGCAGTGCCATGGGTAGGTACAAGGGAGGCACTTCCATCCCCCTGAGGGGGAAGCTCCTCAGTTACCTCCTGCTGGCAGCTGTTTAGCTGGTGGAGCATCTTAGCAGCTGTGGAGAACGGAAAGGCCTGAAATGCCATCGGATGCCCCAGAGGACGCGGGGCTCTTGCAGGTAGGCAGCTCTCATGAGCTGAACGACAGGGGCATCCTGTGTCACAGYTCCCTTGCACCCCACTGCTGCTCTGAGAAGGTCTCCCGCTCTCCTTGACCATTTCTTCTGCTCAGGTCTGAGGTCCTGATGGGAAGGACTGGCTGGCGAGGGTGGGACATGCCAGCATGGATGACAAGCTGCCTGCACACAGTCCTGTGGGCGCCGAGGCCAGCGTGGCAGGAGGAAGCAGGACAGCCACGCGTCTATACATCTATATTTTAACATTCCCTAGCCCAGTTCCTCCAGGGCCTTGTACTGAAGAGGGAAAGCTAACAGCGTTTTTTCACTTATTTTTGCAGAGCTCGAGGACTGGGATGCTGCGAAGGTTAATTCASTCTCTAAAATGTGAACGGTGCCAGCGGCCTCAGGGGTGGAGGTGGGAGACAGGCAGGGCTTGTTTACCTTAAAACTGCACATGAAAACAGGTGCTTTCTCTTCAAATGCCTTGTTCTTGGAAAGGTGCAATGCCATGAAAAAGCCTCCTGCAGAGATGGAACTTGACATGCTTGCTAGTTTTCTATGGGGAGACTTTTGGGAATAAAAAGAATAAAAGGAATTATATTTAAAGTGCAAATACTAAACAGTGTGGAACTTGAAGAGTGAGACATGGGGATAGCGTGGCTTAGAGGCACTGCTAGATGCCAGAATATTGCCCTTTGCTTGCAGTCCTGAGCTGAGGTGCAACATGTTCTCGCTTTTCTCCCTGCTCATCAGGGCACACGAGTGGTGGTACCTGCATCAGACACCATTAGTGCCCCAGAACGAGCAGTGCAGCGGGGAGAGGAACAAAGGTCAGAGATTTGGAATATGGAGGGGAAAAATCGAAGTGGAAATAACAGGTCTCATCAGGCATGGATGGCAGATAGTAAATTGGCTTCAGGAGAGCTGTTCAGGAATCACGGGAACCACATCACCAGGCGTAAGGTGAGAGTCAACTACTTAAATGGAAGAGTTGCTCATGCTTGAAACCTTCCTTGACCCTGCAAGGGGAGAAGTTGTTTTGCTGCCTTAGAGACCCTATGTATTTTTTGTCTTTTTTCCCTCGGTTCTTCATACAGTACTTTCTTTACAAAATGTGCCACATAAGCAATTTTTCCTCCTCAGTSCCGGAGTTGGAGCAAGCTGGGTGACCCTGCTAGGAAAGCAATTTTCAAATGCAGCCCGTGATTGTCAGTGTGAGGCTAGTAGGTGTTTTACAACATCCAGCACTGTCCTCACCCCTCGCAGATGATGGCAAGGAGCGGGTCCCAAATACTGAGACCTACCATACTGAGACCRAGACCTCTCTTTGGGTTAGCAGAGACACACAAAGTGGCCTTGGAAAGTCCTGTGGTTTGTGCGTCACCTTTCTGCCTGCTGAGGGGGAGYGGATGGTCCCCAATGCCGTGGACCTGACAATGTTTTGAGCAAATATGAGCTGACCGTGAGCTCCTAATGGGGCTGCATTTGCCTGCATTTCTGAACGGGTATGAGGAGCTTGACAGATCACTGAGGAGCAGCCAGAGATGCTGGGAAGTAGGGTCCTTTTTTAAAAGAAAACAAAAAAAGACAGCCACATTAAGGGAAAAAAAAATCTGCTAACCTTGCCTTCTGCCACTAGTCACGGTGCTGAAGGACTGTGTAGATGATTGCTCTTGGACCAGCTAGTTACAGGAATGAATTACCACAGAAGGCCAGGATGAGGCTTTTCCATGGTCATTATCAGACCTGGTTTCTCATCAATACATGCCTTTATTGGAGGCAA